GTGTGTATATTTGGAACTTTGTTCACAGATGTCAGGAAAAATTATAAAATTCACCATCACCCATTGAAAATAGCTTTTAACCTGGTTTCATTGACAAGGTATCTCTAAGAGAAAGAGTAACAGATATAACTAAAAATTATTTGTTGGCAGGCAGGGGGAGGGGGGTAATACATAAATAAATAAATAAATATTATTTGTTAACTTTGTATAAGACTTTTTGATATATTTCTCAGGAATTGAGAGAGGGAAAAACACTAATAACTTGGCATTATTTTCTTCACTGGGTGGTTTCCATTTATTTTATTTGTTTATTTTATTTTTGACATAGGGTCTTGCTGTCACACAGGCTGGAATGTAGTGGCATGGTCATAGCTCACTACAGCCTTGACCTCCAGGGCTCAAGTGATCCTCCCACCTAAGCCTTCAGAGTAGTTCATTCTACAAGTGCATGCACCACCACATTCAGCTAATTTTTTTTTTTTTTTTTTTTTTTTGAGATGATGGAGTTTTGCTCTTGTTGCCCAGGTTGGAGTGCAATGGTACAATCTCGGCTCACTGCAACCTCCGCATCCCAGGTTCAAACAATTCTCCTGCCTTAGCCTCCTGAGGAGCTGGGATTACAGGCATCTGCCACCATGCCCAGCTAACTTTTTTTTGTATTTTTAGTAGAGATGGAGTTTCACTATATTGGTCAGATTGGTCTTGAACTCCTGACCTCATGATCTGGCTGCCTTCGCCTCCCAAAGTGCTGGGATTACAGGTGTGAGCCACTGCTCCCGGTCCTCACATCCAGCTAATTTTTAAACTTTTTCATAGAGACAGGGTCTCACCATGTTGCTCAGGCTAGTCTGGAACTCCTGGGCTCAAGCAGTCCTCCCATCTTGGCCTTCCAAAGTCCTGGGATTACAGGCATGAGCCATATGTCTGGTCAATAAAAGATTTTATTTTATTTTATTTTATTTTAAAGACGGGGTTTCACCATGTTGGTCAGGCTGGTCTTGAACTCCCGACTTCAGGTGATCTGCCCGCCTTGGCCTCCAAAGTGCTTGGATTACAGGCGTGAGCCACCACATCCAGCCCAATACAAGATTTTCAAGCAAAATTATATTTGGATAAGATTCTGGGAGGAAAAAAGAAATATAAAATTTCCAATTTTACAAAGGTTGTTTATGTGTTTTTCAGTGGCTGATAAATATCAAAGTCACTGTGGAATTTAGATTATACTGGATAAATACAAATTGGAGAAACAATCTTTTTTTATTTTTTATAAAATTATAAAAAAATTTTAATTCTTTTAAAACTTAAAATTTAAAAACTTTTTAAAAATTTATTTATTTTTTTTTAAAAGATAAGAGATGGGGTTTCTCCATGTTGGCCAGGCCAGTCTCGAACTCCCGACCTCAGGTGATCTGCCTACCTCGGCCTCCCAAAGTGCTGGGATTACAGGCGTGAGCCACCGTGCCCGACCTAAAAACTTTTTTTCTTTAGAGATGGGGTCTCACTACATTGCCCAGGCTGGAGTGCAGTGGCTATTCACAGGCTCCATCCCATTACTGATCATCACCGGAGTTTTGACCTGCTCCGTTTCTGACCTGGGCCAGTTCACCCCTCCTTAGGCAACCTGCTGGTCCCCCGCTCCCGGGAGGTGACCATATTGATGTCGAACTTAGTGCGGACACCCGATAGGCATAGCACTACAGCCCAGAGCTCCTGGGCTCAAGTGATCCTCCAGCCTCAGCCTCCCGAGTAGCTGGGACTACAGGCACGTGCCATGGCATCCGGCTTTTTTTTTTTTTTTTTTTTAAGAGACGGGGTTTCACCATGTTGGCCAGGATGATCTCGGTCTCCTGACCTCATAATCTACCCACCTGGGAACTCCTCTCCCTTAACATCTGCCTGAAATATTTACTGATTTTAAAAATTCTTTTTTCAAGATTTCCTACCACAAGGAGCCACTTGATCCACCCCATCAAACTTAGGCTCTCTTTCTTTTCTGGTTCAACGGAACACCCATCCCTGCCTCAATCTCCCCTACCCTTTCCCAAACTCCGTCCCCATCATCCTAAAGCCCAAGAGTCTCTCAGCCTGGTTGGAGCTCTGAGCTGCCTATAAACTTGAAAGAATTTGTATACCCATAACTAAAATGAACTTTTTCTGCCATCATTTAAGTCACTTAATTGAAAAGTGCATTTGTCCCTTGGTATCCAAGAGGGACTGACTCCAGGGACTCCCTCAAATACCAAAATCAGTGGATGCTCCAGTCCCTTATATAAAATGGCATAGAATTTTGCTTATAACCTACATACATTCTCCAGTATACTCTAAATCATCTCTAGAGTATTTATAGTACCTAATAGAATGTAAATGCTATGTAAACAGTTGTCATACTGTATTGTTTAGAGAATAATGACAAGAAAAAAGTCTGTGCATGTTCAGTACAGATTTTTTTTTTTTTTCTTTTTTGAGACAAGGTCTGGCTCTATTGCCTAGGCTGGAGTGCAGTGGCACAATCTCAGCTCACTGCAACCTCCACCTCCCGGGCTCAAGCCATCCTCCTACCTCAGCCTCCCCGAGTAGCTGGTAGCTGGACCTACAGGTGCACACCCCCACACCCAGCTATTTTTTTTGAGTTTTTTTTTTTGGTTTTTTTTTTTTTTTTTTTTAGAGATGGGTTTTGTCATATTGCCCAGACTAGTCTTGAACTCATAAGTTCAAGCAATCCTCTCACCTCCGTCTCCCAAAGTGCTGTGATTACATGCATGAGCTACCACACCCGGACAGATGCAATTTTTTTGTCTTTTTTTTCTTTCTCCAGTGTCAGTGTTGATCAAATATTTCCAGTCTGCAGTTGGTTGAATCCACCAATGCAGAACCCATGGAAACAGAGATCTGACTGTATTGGACTGTGAATCATTCATGTTATCTCCAGAACAATCGATGTAGCCTCCTGTATCTTTGTCCATGAATGACCTAAGGCCAAAGGCTGACTTTGACCTCAAGGTGAGTGCCTGAAGGCATCAGGTAATCACAGCCCTCCGGGGTCACACTTGTTTAATACCTCTCAATGGTGCCAAATACTGCAGACAATAGAATGCAATCTCCCAATTTCCCTTTTTGACTGGGACCTTATCTTACTAACCTCAGTTAAGGTCACTCTCCTCTTCTCCTTTCTCACTAAACTCAACCACCCCACTTTTCTTCAGCCTCCGGACTAACTCTCTTCTGCCCCTCTCCTCTGCCTTTGCCTTCAAGGTCCTTTAGCCTGGAGTGTTTTCAAGACTCCTTCAGTGATTGGCTGCCTCTTTCTCTTTGGGTTTGCTGCAATTTGACAGTAACTGTCAAGATGTAAGATATCTGCCCATGAGCCCATATGAAGAAATATTCATATAGTGCTCCACAACATTAAAATAATGCTTATTGCAGCATTTTTTATTTTTTATTTTTACACAGAGTCTTGCTCGGTCACCCAGGCTGGAGTGGAGTGGTGCGGTCATAGCTCACTGCAGCCTTGAACTCTTGGACTCAAGTGATCCTTTCACCTTAGCCTCCCTGGTAGCTGGAACTATAGGCGTGCCACCACTTCTCACTAGCTTTTTATTTATTTCTGTCTTTTATAGAGATGGGTCTAACTATTTTGCCCATGCTGGTCTCTAACACTTGGCCTCAAGAAATCCTCACGCCTTGGCTTCCCAAAGCACTGGGATCACAGACATGAGCCACCACACTGGGCTCAGCTTTTTTTTTTTTCTTTTTTTGAGACAGGATCTTGTTCGGTTGCACAGGCTGAAGTGCAGTGACACAGTCATGGCTCATTGCAGCCTTGATTTCCCAAGGCTCCAACAATCCTCCACCCTCAGCCTCCTGTGTAGCTGGGACTACAGGTATGTGCCACAATGCCCAGTTGATTTTTAGGTTTTTTCAGTAGAGATGGAGGCGGGGGTCTCACCATGTTGCTCAGGCTGATCTTGAACTCCTGGGCTCAAGTGATTCTCCTGCCTTGGCCTCTCAAAGTGCGTGGATTACAGGTGAAAACCACATCGGCTTTTTTTCTTTTAAATAGATAAGGTGTTTCACAATGTTGCCCAGGCTTGTCCCAAATTCCAAGGCTCAAGCAATCCTCTTGCCTCCACCTTCCAAAGTGCTGGGATTACAGGCATGAGCCACCACACCCAGCCTCGCCATTTTTTAAGAGCAAAAGAAAAAAAAAATGTTAAGAATGTAAATACCCTTCAAGAAAGGGATGGTAAAATGGTTGTACATATGCAGCCATTAAAAAGAATGAAGCAGATCAGGAAGTCCCGGCAAGGGTAGAGGTCCATGGTACTGAATATTGCATGTAAAAGAAGAAAATCACAGCACATATAGAGTGTTTAGTCCTATTCATGTAAATACAACAAAGCCACCATGCCTGTGTGGTTATACAGAAAAGGCTCCAGAAAGCCTCACACTCCCCAGGAGTGGAAGAGTAGAAGAAAGAACATTTTTTGTTTCCTCTACTTATTCCTATTTTGTGTGAGCATTTTACAACAACTGTGTGTCTGTGAAATAATATAAATTTGAGGTAAATTTGAAGGCAAGGAGCTATCTGCAAATTGGTGTCATGCTAGGGAAATACGATCTTCCAAAGAGATACCAAAAGTCTGAAGCAACCTCCCTGGCACCTGCCTTGAGCTAAGCAGGTAAGATGTGACCCATTGCCTTGGTGCTGGAATTACCAGTTAGATGCTTATTGTCCATGGCCAGGCACAGTGGCTCATGCCTATAATCCCAGCACTTTGAAAGGCTGAGGTGGGTGGATCACTTGAGGCCAGGAATTTGAGACCAGCCTGGTCAACATGGTGAAACCCTATCTCTACTAAAAATACAAAAAAATTAGCTGGGGGTGGTAGTGGGCACCTGTAATCCCAGCTACTTGGGAGGCTGAAGGAGGGTGAGGCAGGAGAATCGCTTGAGCCCAGGAGACAGAGGTTGCAGTGAGCCAGAGTCGTGCCACCGCACTCCAGCCTAGGTGACAGAGTGAGACTGTTTCAAAAAAAAAAAAAAAAAAAAGATGCTTATTATCCAGACCAGGATCACATCTTTTGACCTAAATTTGTTAGATGGTGGGCAGGCACGGTGGCTCATGCCTGTAATCTCAGCACTTTGGGAGGCTGGGGTGGGCAGATCATCTGAGATCAGAAGTTCAAGACCAGCCTGACCAACAAGGTGAAACCATGTCTCTACTAAAAATACAAAATTAGCCAGGCATGGTGGTGCATGCCTACAATCCCAGCTGCTTGGGAGGCTGAGGCAGGAGAATCACTTGAACTCGGGAAGTGGAGGCTGCAGTAAGCCAAGATCACACCATTGCACTCCAGCCTGGGTAACAAGAGTGAAACTCCATCTCAAAAAAAAAAAAAAAAAAATTGTTGGATGGCACAGGCTGGGCCACCATGGGCATGGATGTTATCATGGTTAGTGTGTTAGGCCATCCTTGCATTGTTATAAAGAAATACCTGAGGCTAGGTAATTTATAATGAAAAGAATTTTAATTGGCTGATAGTCTGCAGACAGTACAAGACGCATTATGCCAACATCCATTTCTGGTGAGGGCCTCAGGAAGCTTACTTCCTGAAGTATTATGTTGGTGCAAAAGTAATTGCTGTTTTTGTCATTACTTTTAACATCAATTAAAAGTATTACTTTTGCACCAACCTAATAAGTACTTACTGGCTGAAGGTGAAGTGGGGAGCAAGTGTCTCACATGATAACAACAGGAGCAAGAGAGAGAGGAGGGTGGAGAGAGGAAGAATAGAGAGGAAGAGAGAGAGGCTCTGCACACTTTTAAACAACCAGATCTCAAGAGGACTCACTATCTCAAGGATAACACTAAAGGTCTGGCACTAAATCATTTATGAGAAATGTCCCCATGGTGCAATCACCTCCCACCAGGCCCCACCTCCAACATTGGGAATTACAATTCAACATGAGGTTTAGCAAGGACTACATCGAAACCCTACAATTAGAAATGGTTCATTTCAGGCCAGGCATGGTGGCTCACGCCTGTTATGCCAGCATTTTGGGAGGCTGAGGCAGGTGGATCACCTGAGGTCAGGAGTTTGAGACCAGCCTGATCAATATGGAGAAACCCCGTCTCTACTAAAAATACAAAAATTAGCCAGGCGTGGTGGTGCACCTGTAGTCCCAGCTACTTGGGAGTGCTGAGACAGGAGAATCACTTGAACCCAGGAAGTAGAGGTTGCAGTGAGCCGAGATTGCGCCATCACACTCCAGCCTGGACGACAAAGCGAGACTATGTCTAAAAAAAAAAAAGAAATGGTTCATTTCTTTTTGGCGGGGAGTCCCAGCCAAGGCAAAACTTGTTTTCCTTCCCTGGGGCAAGAAAGGGAAATGGGAGAGTAGCAGGGGCCGGAAGATAAGAAAATAGAAGTGGAAGAATAAATGAATCAGGAGAATAAAGAAGAGAGGAGAGGAACAAAAGGGAGCAGATGGGAGAAGAGAGAAGGGAATGAGATGGGGCAGGGAAGAGCAGAGGAGAGAAGGTAGGAGAGAAAATGTGAAGGGAAAGGAAGGGAAAAGAAAGGAGGAAATAGGGGAGAGGAGGAGAGGAGAGAGATTCTAATCACGGGAATTTAGGTCAAAGTGGGCATTTGAGAAAGAGGAAGGAAAGAAAGAGAGAAAGAAGGAAAGAAAAAAAGAAAAAGAAAGGAAGAGAGAAAAAGAATGAAAACTCAATCTGATAGTGACTACTATTTTAATTTCTAAGCCAAGTAGAAGAAGATAAATATAAACTATAGGTTGTTTCTGAACAGCTGATAATTGGGAATGCTTTGTTTTCCCACCTCTGCCAGTCTAAATAAACCAAGGTGTCTACTGCTGCATAACAAATTACCCAAAGCTTAGTAGCTTAAAACAACAAACACGTATTATCTCACATAGTTTCTAAGAGTCAGGAATCCAAGCGTTGCTTAGCTAGTAATTCTGGCTCAGAGTTTCTCATGAGGTTGCAGTCAAGATACAGCCAGGGCTACAATCATCTGAAGGCTTGACTGGGGCTGGAGAATCAGATGGTTCATCCATGCTTACTACAGACCTCAGCTCTTTGCCAGCTGGGCCTCTCCATAGGGCTGCTTGAGCATCCTCATGACATGGCAGTAGACTTCCCCCAGAAGGAGTGACTCAAGAGAGCAAGATAGAAGCCACAATGTCTTTTATGACTTAGCCTTGGAAGTCACAGACCATCACTTCTACCCTATTCAATGGGCCACACCCACCTTTGATACAGTGTGGAAGGCAGCTACAGAACAACATGAATATCAGAATGCGAGGATCATTCAAGGCCATTTTGGAGGCTGATAATCACACAAGGCAGAAGAAAAGATTTTTTTTTTTTTTTTTTTTGAGACAGAGTCTTACTGTTCACTGTCACCTAGGCTGGAGTACAGTGGCACAATCATGGCTGACTGCAGCCTCAATCTCTTGGGTTCAAGTGATCTCCCCACCTCAGCCTTCCAGATAATTTGGACTATAGACACTCGCCACCATGCCTAGCTAATTTCATTTTATTTTAGTAGAAACAAAATCTCGCTAATGTTGCATAGGCTGGTTTCGAACTCCTGGGCTCAAGCGATCCTCTCACCTCAGCCTTCCAAAGTTTAGGATTACAAACATGAGCCACCTCACCTGGTCTAACAGACAAATTTCTGATGAGCCAGTCTCTTCTCTAGCTGTTTACAATGACTTAAGAACTAGTCTTGTCAAATCTCTCTGGGATGCTTCTCACTCAGCAGATTCTCTTCCAGTTATATTCTCTGGAAATATGTGTACTAGTGGACAAGAATATCCCTAAAAGCATTGCTCCTGGACAAAAAATATTTGATAGCCCAAACACCATTCAGCAATTGACCACATAAGTTGTGCTGTATTTATATGACATAATATTCCAAGTATAAACCCACTATCACGATTAACCCACTATGGCCACATGCAACAACCTAGATGAAGCTCACAATGTTGAACAAAAGAAGCCAGACCAATATATACTGTATTAATTCGCATTTAGATAAAGCTTAAAACATTCAAAACTAAACTAAAATGTTTAGGGCCGCCTACTTAGGTGGTAAAACCATGAAGAAGACAATGAACTTATCAGCATGAAACTTGGGAGAGTGATTTCTTTTTTGGGGTGATGAAAGGCATTGCAATCAGGAAGGGAGCAGGATGAGACTTCTGACAACGTTCTATTTCTTTGCCTGAGTGCTGATTACAAGTGTTTCCTTTTTAATAATACTTTAAGCCATAGATTTACGTGTTAGGCACTTTTCTGTATATGTATCATTTTACAATAAAAGGGCTTTAAAAAAATATCTTAATTCTCCAAGATCTTGTTTTGGAAAACAATCAACAGTGATGATAGTAATAATCAGCCTATAATGTGCACATAGTTCCCATCCCTCTGGGGATTTGCAGCGAGTAGGGAGAAGCTTGTACCCTCAAATAAGTGACACGCACTGAACCCTGACCCCTGGTGCCCATCGCTGCAGAGCCTCACGTTTGGACGCTGGGAACTGAATACCTATTGTTGTGACCTCTGAGCGTCTCCTTCCAGAAACCTTGGTCCTGGAGGAATTTCAGTCTGGTTCTGCCATCATGGGTCTCCCCCATCACCCGTCCTTCTTTGCCTGCTCCCCCGCACCCCTTCTAATCCTAGCTTTTTCTGAATATCTTTTGTTAAGCTGACAGAAGCCATAATTGAGCCCCCTGACAAGAACTGGACTGTGCTTTTCTCTCTCTTCCTTTTTTGCAATCTACAATGAGCCTTCCAAGTTCATTACCGCAGATGGTCCTGGTCAAGACCCAGGGCCCGATGGGAGAAGCTTATTATCCGGCCTCAGGGACAGTGAGAACTGGCTGGCAGCCGCAGTCATTCTGAAGCAGTCATGTCCAATTAGAAGAAACATTAGGCACTTTCCTTCTGGAGCCCCATTAACAAATTAGTCCTACCACAAACTGAGAGAGACTGGATGGGACCAAATACCTTTTGACCACTGGATAATTTGATAATTTGGAGAAGAAACAGTGCAGAACACTGCTGTGTGTGTGTGTGTGTGTGTGTGTGTGTGTGTGTGTGTGCGTGCGTGTGTGTGTCTGTGTGTACGTGTTGGAGGTAGGAGGTAGCAGGTGGTTTGGGAGGAGGATTTGACACCGTATGCCTGTGCCACCCAGGAATGAAACCTTTCTAACTCTAAGCCATGCCTGTTACTGGGTTAAAATGGTCAGGGATTTGGCAAGAAAAGCTGTCTTTTCCGTGGTCAGTATTTCATCCATGCTGGACTTGCTGGGCTGGAGAAGCTGGCACTATGTCCTTAGGAATTTTTGTTAAGTTTTAGTTCCAGGAAGTTTGTGGAAAGTGGGTTGGGAAATCCAATGCTCCATGTACCTGCTGTGATACAATAATCTTAATTCACTATTTTAAAATTATGCTGGGTTTTCAAAATATTGGTTGTAAATGGCTTGCTCAGGAAAAGTACTAATTAGACCTCTGAGATTTTTTAAATTCCAAAGTCTGAACCACAAATAAGTTTTTGTTGCTAAGGAAACCACTGCATTCAAATTACCATTGCAAATTTAAATTGCCATTTTAGGTTCATTTGCAATAGAGCAAAAGCTTGGAGCAACTCTTCTAAAAGGGAGAGAGAGAAAGGAAGATGAGGTAGAGAGGAAAGAATGTTACTGGTGAGAACATGATGCCTACTTTTGATTGACAGCTGAAGAACTAAGAAAATCTAGAAGCAAAGAACTGCAGAGAAGGTCCGTATGATCTCTCATTTCATAACAGGTTATCAATCCTGAAGTCTCACATTAGAAAGATTCTTAGAGATTTTCTGCCAACTCCTATTCAGTGCAGGAGTGTTCTTTTTATTTACTATAGATCTTACACATATAAACAAATAATAGGATAATCTTATAAACAACTTCATGCAATATGTTCAACAACCTAGATAAAAAAGACAGGTTCCTTCAAAACCATAATTTTTTTTTTTTTTTTTTTTTAATAGAGACAGAGTTTCACCATGTTGGCTATCAGGATAGTCTCGATCTCTTGACCTTGTGATCCGCCCACTTCGGCCTCCCGAAGTGCTAGGATTACAGGTGTGAGCCACCGCGCCCAGCCTCCAAAACCATAATTTATCTAATCTGTCATGAGATTAAATTGAAAAGAAGAAAAACTTTTATTTTTTATTTATTTATTTATTTATTTTGAGACGGAGTTTCGCTCTTGTTACCCAGGCTGGAGTGCAATGGCGCGATCTCGGCTCACCGCAACCTCCGTCTCCTGGGTTCAGGCAATTCTCCTGCCTCAGCCTCCTGAGTAGCTGGGATTACAGGCACGCGCCACCATGCCCAGCTAATTTTTTGTATTTTTAGTAGAGACGGGGTTTCACCATGTTGACCAGGATGGTCTCGATCTCTTGACCTTGTGATCCACCCGCCTCGGCCTCCCAAAGTGCTGGGATTACAGGCTTGAGCCACCGCACCCGGCCGGAAAAACTTTTAAAAAAATTAAAAATTAAGGACGTGTTCGTGACCCGGGTTCCGGAATGAATCCCAAGCGGCTGTGGCGACCGCCAAGGAGCAGTGGGTGCTGGTGGAGATGGCACAGGTGCTCTGCGAGGCTCCTGCTTACCATCTTATTTTGGAAGGGTTTCTAATACTCTGGATAATCAGACTTCTTTTCTCTAAGACTTACAAGTGACTAGAACGATCTGATCTTATAGTCAAGGAAAAGGAAGAACTGATTGAAGAGTGGGAACCAGAACCTCTTGTTCCTCCTGTGCCAAAAGACCATTCTGCCTCTCAACTACAACATCGTTTCAGGTTAAGTGAGCACCTGGTCTTTGAGAATCTTCTCTTGAGACAGCTCTCTTTGGTTCCACAACTCTTTCATCCACTTTGTGTGGCCTTGCACCCTTGGCTGCGTCTGCCTCCTCCACAGTGGCATATGTGAAGAACCCAAAGCCCCTGGAGAGCTTGGTGTTTGGATCCCTCATTACCACACAGTCCGTGAGCGTTCCCCATGGCTCAGAATGGCTCCTCAGCCTGTCATTGGTTGTTTCAAAGCTCAACACTCCAATGAAGAACTTCCTCAGCTGTTCGGCTCTTTAGGAGACTCTGACTTAGACATGATCACAGGGAGCAGAGAGACTTTAATGATGCTTCTTCAGTGGCATCCACGGACAGAAACGACTATTAATTATTTTTGACACAGAGTTTCGTTCTTGTTGCCCAGGCTGGTGTGCAATGGTATGATCTCAGCTCACCACAAGCTCTGCCTCCTGGGTTCCAGCGATTCTCCTGCCTCAGCCTCCCAAATAGCTGGGATTACAGGCATGCGCCACCATACTTGGCTAATTTTGTATTTTTAGTACAGATGCGGTTTCTTCATATTGGTCAGCTGGTCTTGAACCCCCAACTTCAGGTGATCCACTCGCCTTGGACTCCCAAAGTGCTGGGATTATAGGCATGAGCCACTGTGCCCAGCCATAGATATCAATTTTTACTCAATTCTTGGTGTGGTCAAAAGTGAAGGGATGGGCAGGATGAGGGGCCCAGCAGCCACTTGGGCCAGGTCAGAGGTAGGAGGAGGAGCTGGGACCTGTGACATGTAGGTGGCCTGAGGCAGGGAGTCTCAGCAGGTGGGAAGACATCGGGGCAGGCTGGCTGGCACTGCAGTTTACCATATCTTCTTTATCCTCCCATGTCACTTTTTCAGTCTCCTGGATTGTGATGTTCTACCTAATGCCCCCATGTTGTCCGTGAATCCTTCCAGGGATAGGCGGGGACGTTTAGCGGTGAGGGCCCCTCGTCTCTCCCCCACCTCCATTGCTGGGGAGAAACCAGTGGCAGCTGCTGGGGTTGCCCTGACCGTTTTGATTGTCGGGAACTGTGGCTGGCAGCTCTGGGTGGAGAAGAGCTGCTTACTACAAGAGCTGCAGGATCCTTGCGCTGGGCCTCCTTCCCCTACATCTGCAAGCCAGAGGAGCCGGGCAGGTGGTCTTTCTCCAGCGCTTCAGAGGCCGCCTTCTCTGGCCAATGGGAGCAGCTGGGAACTGGGCCAGGGAGCACTGCTGGAGCTGAGTCAGGCTTGCCAAAGGGAAGGACGCCTCCTGCAGGGCTGTGTGCGCTGGGCACTCCACGGTCCTTGGAGTGAAAACTCACTGCAGGCACCTGGGCCTTGTCAGTCGTGTTCGTTTCTGTCAGGCTTCTGCTATGGACATTTCCCTTTAAGGCCCTGGGGCTGCAGTCGAGGGAAGCGAGGTTTCACTGAGTCTCCCGGGTTCTCGAGGTGGATGCTGCTCCCCCATTGCTACAGGGCTCCCCTTTCTCCTCCTCCTGCCCCTGGGTCTCTACCTGATCGTCCACCTCCACTGGTTCTTCCGGCTCTTCTTCTGCCCTCACCTCCGTCTTCAGGATCGGGACGGAATTCCAAGACCTGTTCCCCGGCACTTGTAGCGAACGCAGTTGGAGGGGAAACTTGAGTCTTAGACGAGGGATCCTCACGGGGCTGACACATGCGAACATCATGGAGTTGCGTGCAGACAGCATGGGTTTCTCCCTTGCTGGGTGGGAGGGGGGGCTCCAGACCAGAGGAGGCAGGTCCCGCAGTAGGGCGCTCGAGTTCGGGGTGATATTCCAGCTGGCTGGAAAACAAGGCCCAAGACCTCGCTGAGGGTTCAAGAAGAATCGAGAAGAGTGTAGGGCTCCCGGGGCAGGCACACACGCATAAGCTGTGGGGTGAACCCGGCGAGCCGAAAAGTCCGCATGGACAAAAGGAGACCATTGCTGTTGCTACCGCGCTGGGGCCTGCAGTGGAATCAGGAACGAAATCTGCTTAGGAAATTTCCCATATTGCACAAGTTGTGCGCGGACAAAAATCACGGTCAGAAATGGAGAGGTTACTCCTGAGTCACCCACTAGTCTGTGGCCGGGAGGGTACTGGGCAGCTGGGCTCTTATGACATCTCAATGGGGCTGGTGACAGAGCAGGGTGTGGGGCAGTGCACAGGAGCCCAGCAAGGGCACCTACAAATGGAGTCAAAGGGCAAAGGGCGAGGCTCCCCACCCGTCCAGCTGGACTCTCTAGCCCCAGGGATGTCCTGCTCCTGGGGGCAGGTGTGTGGCCCTGGCTGGGCCCCGCTGTGGGGCTGTGGGGGATGCGGGGCTGTTCTGCCAGAGCCCTTCCCACCTGGTGCGTGGCCCAGGCACTGGCTGGCACCCAGTGGCCATGTCTTGGCTGGCCTTGTCCCCTGGGTCACAGGGCCAGACTCTCCTGGAAGCAGAGCGCAGGACTAGCCAGATCCTGCCAGGCTCCCCTAGGGCCTCTTCAGCGCCTCTGTGCCTCCCGGAGCCAGGCCCGCCTTCTCCCTTGTTGTCCTGGCCTTGCCAGGCAGATTTCAGGAGAGAATGCATGCCCCGGCTTGACTGACTGCCGCCCCTTACCACTTCCCTTCCCGGCAGGCAGGGTCTCCACTTCTGTTTACAAATTTGCCTGAGAACTTTCCTCAGGTCGTTTGGGTGACCATGACCCAGCCAGGCTTTGAACCCAGGCTATGTGATTCCACAGCTGCCACTCTGGCCTGTGTGCCTCCGCATCGTGGATACAGCATGTATTCTTAATTTTCCTGTAGTCCTACGGTACTTAGCACCGTGACATATCTGTAATAAGCACATACACACATAGAAGGAGGTCTTCAACACATAAGTTGACCATGGCCCACTCTGGGCTCCAGTCCTCTTCAAAGATGTTGGGCAGGGATCACCAGCTGTCAGCACAGCACCATCCCACATTGCGCTTCTAATGGAGACTTTCAGCCCAGATGTTCTTTCTCTAGTGGGAAGAATCTAAGTACGTAAAGACGATATTCTAGATCAGCTTTGGTCTATCCTGAAAGAAATTCACCAGTGGATTATTCCATATAGATAAAAGCCAGTTTATCTAGTCTTCCTGGATGTGTCTAGAAAGCAAGTACATTATTTTTTTGCAAGTTATAGTGGATCAATATATTGGATTAAAATGTGATCAACATAATTTCGCTATTGTGAGCATGCCAGCTGGGTCCAGTCTTCACCACACATTATGATACTCTAGATTTTCTTATGGCCAAGAGAAAAACATACACTTGGTTGTCGGGACTAGGGAAACATGTATGAAAAACCATTCGGTCACTCCACATCCTTTCATTAGAGAACTGAAACCATCTATATTCGAGGATATTACTAAACGGTAAGAAGTTACTTCTGTCATTTTGTTAACTGTTTTCTGGTTGTTTTGTAGGTCTTTTGTTTCCTTCTTCTTTTACTGTTTTCTTTATAGTTTGGTGAGTTTCTGCACTGATAAGCTTTGATTCCTGTCTTCATTTCATTGACATAGCTGATATAATTTTTTCCCTTTGGTTACTCTGTAGCTTACAATTAAAAATTTATAGTTATGATAGACTATTTAAAGCTGATAAACAGTTGTGATCACACATGAACATGCTATACTCCCTCTACATCCCACACCAATGCACAAAATTTATGCTTTTTTGCCATGATTTACATTGTTCTGTGTTGTGTATTTGTTAACAACTCATTGTAAATATAAAAATAAAGGATGCTCAACTTTCTCAAGGGTGAAAAAAATTTAAAAAAAAAATAAAAAAAGAAGAAAAAGTATTAAAAAAAAAAAACAAGAATAAAGTAATTTATCAAAATGGACCCAAGAAGAAATTTAAAAATCTAAATAGCTTCATATCTATTAAATATGTTGAATTATTACTTATTTTTATTTATTTATTTTTATTTTTTGTAGAGACGGGGTTTCTCCATGTTGGTCAGGCTGGTCTCAAACTCCCAACCTCAGGTGATCTGCCCACCTAGGCCTCTCAAAGTGCTGGGATTACAGGTGTGAGCCACCACACTCAGCCTATTATTATTTTTTGAGACAGAGTCTCACTCTGTCACTCAGGCTGGAGTGCAGTGGCATGATCTCGACTCACTGCAGCATCCGCCTCCCAGGTTCAAGCAATTCTGCCTCAGCTTCCCAAGTAGCTGGTATTACAGGCAACTGCCACCATGCCCAGCTAATTTTTGTATTTTTAGTACAGACAGAGTTTCACCATGTTGGCCAGGCTGGTCTTGAACTCCTGATCTCAGATGATCTACCCACCTCAGCCTCCCAAAGTGCTGGGATTACAGGTGTAAGCCACTGAGCCTGGTCAAGAAAGTTATTTTTAAAAATCAATGCTGACTGGGCACGGTGGCTCAAGTCGGTAATCCTAGCACTCTGGGAGGCTGAGGTGGGCAGACCACAAGGTGAACAGTTTGAGACCAACCTGGCCAACATGGTGAAACCCCACCTCTACTAAAGATACAAAAAAATTAGCCAGGTGTGGTGGTGCTCACCTGTAATCCCAGCTACTCAGGAGGTTGAGGCAGGAGAATCGCTTGAACCCAGGAGGCGGATGTTGCATTGAGCCAACAACATCGAGCCATTGCACTCCAGCCTGGGCAACAGGATAAGACTCTGTCTCAGGAAAAAAAAAAAAAAGCAGTGTTGAAACTGTATGTCTTTTAAGGAAAAAAATTTAATCCCAGCCCAATCTCACTCCACATACAATTTTATTTTTGTTTTTTGTTTTTTTTTTAGATGGATTTGCCTGGGATTACAGGCAGCTAAGTTTTGTATTTTTAATAGAGATGGGGTTTCACCATGTTGGCCAGGTTGGTCTTGAACTCCTGACCTTGAGATCCACCCACCTCAGCCTCCCAAAGTGCTGGGTTTACAGGCATAAGCCACCACGCCCGGCCTCCACATATAAAATTAATTTGAAATTAATCACAGACAAAACATAAAAATCCAAACCAGAAAGCTTCCAGAAACAAAACACAACAGAAAAACCATTTTGAAGTTATCAAAGATTTATTGGACAGGGCACAAAAAATGTTAAAGAAGAAATAAATAAATTTGACTTCATAGATACTTCTATTCTCCAAAGATAATAAAAGGGCAAGCTACAGACTGAGGGAAAATATTCACAATGCGCATTTGTAGCAAATGTCTTGAATCACAATAAGAAATAATTCAGGCTGGGCGAGGTGGCCCACGCCTGTAATACCAGCACTTTGGGAGGCCGAGGTGGGAGGATCACCTGAGGTCAGGAGTTTGAGACCAGCCTGACAAACATGGTGAAACCCTGTCTCTACTAAGAATACAAAAATTAGCCAGGTGTGGTCGTGGGCACCTGCAATCCCAGCAACCTGGGAGGCTGAAGCAGGTGAATCCCTTGCACCTGGGGGGCTGACAATGAGCCAAGACTGTGCTATTGTACCCCAGTCTGGGTGACAAGAGCAAAACTCTGTCTCGAAAATAAATAAATTAATAATAACAATAATAGCTGAGCACAGTGGCTCACGCCTGTAATCCCAGCACTTTGGGAGGCCGAGACAGGTGGATCACAAGGTCAGGAGTTCAAGACCAGCCTGGCCAAGATGGTGAAACCCCATCTCAACTAAAAACTACAAAAATTAGCTGGGTGTGGTGGCAGGCACCTATAATCTGATCTACTTGGGAGGCTAAGGCAGGAGAATCGCTTGAACCTGGGCGGCAGAGGTTGCAGTGAGCTGAGATCGAGCCACTGCACTCCAGCCTGAGCGACAGAGTAAGACTCCATCTCAAACAAACAAACAATAATAATAACTCATACAAATTAATATAGGAAAACCAACCCATTTTTTTGAGATTATGTCTTGCTGTATTGCCCAGGCTGTTTTTGAACTCCTGAGGTCAAGTGATTTTCTCACCCTGCAAGTGATCCACTCAGGCTGGAGTGCAGTAGCTGTAGCCTCAACCTCCAGGGCTCAAGGGATCCTCCCACCTCAGCCTTCCAAGTAGCTGTGGAGGTGAGAGGATCACTTGAGCTTGTGCGGAAATAATTATATATGTGATTTGCACACATATGATCCCTTTAGTATTCCCAACCACCCCATGAGGTATCTGCTTGCAGTCTCATCCTGGGGACAAAGAAAATAAGATTCAAAAATATTCAAAAAATGTCTCAAAAATCCTTGGCCGGGTGCGGTGGCTCATGCCTGTAATCCCAGCACTGTGGGAGGCCGAGGCGGGCGGATGACCTGAGGTCCGGAGTTCAAGACCAGCCTGACCAACATGGTAAAACCACGTCTTTAAAAAAAAAAAAAAAAAAAAAGAATTTCTCAAAAATCCCTCCCAAAGTGCTGGGATTACAGGTGTGTGCCACCATGCCCAGCCCCCAACCCAATTTTTTAAATGGTCAAAATTTTGACCAGGAACCACCAAAGAAGATATTCAAATGGTTCATAAGCACATGAAGTTATGTTCAACATCATGAATCATCAAGGAAATGCATATGAAAACCACAATAATAGCTAAGTGTTAAAAGCCTGGTAATTGCAAGAGTTGATAAGGATGCGGAGCAGGCTGGGCGTGGTGGCTCATGCCTGTAATCCTAGCACTTTGGGAGGTCAAGAGACAGAGACCATCCTGGCTAACATGGTGAAACGCTGCCTCTACTAATAAATACAAAAATTAGCTGGGCGTGGTGGCATGTGCCTGTAGTCCCAGCTACTCGGAGGCTGAGGTAGCAGAATTGCTTGAACCCAGGAGGTGGAGATTGCAGTGAGCCGAGATCCCTCTACTGTGCTCCAGCCTGGTGCCTGGTGACAGACCAAGACTCTGTCTCAGAAAACAAAGGATGTGGAACAAATGAGAACTTCATACACAGATGATAAGAGAATAAAATGGTACTATCACCTTTGAACACCAGATTGTAAATTTCATATAAAAATGACAAAAACACCTATTTTATGATTCAGCAAATTCCACTTCTAGGCAGCAGCAGATATCCACAAAATCACTTCCGTATAAATATTTATATAATAGTTGCTGCCATGTTCTGAATGTGTCCCTCCAAAATTCGTGTACTGGAAACTTACTTTACTATTATTTTTTTTATTTTTATTTTTTTGAGACGGAGTTTTGCTCTTGTTACCCAGGCTGGAGTGCAATGGCGCGATCTCGGCTCACCGCAACCTCTGCCTCCTGGGTTCAGGCAATTCTCCTGCCTCAGCCTCCTGAGTAGCTGGGATTACAGGCACGCGCCACCATGCCCAGCTAATTTTTTGTAGTTTTAGTAGAGACGGGGTTTCACCGTGTTGACCAGGATGGTCTCGATCTCTTGACCTCGTGATCCACCCGCCTTGGCCTCCCAAAGTGCTGGGATTACAGGCGTGAGCCACCGTGCCCGGCCTACTATTATTTTTTAAAGACAGGGTCTCATTCTGTGGCCCAGGCTGGAATGCAGTGGTATGATCATGGCTGAGTGTAGCCCATACCTTCCAGGCTCAAGCAATCTTCCTGCCTCAGGCTCCTGAGTAGCTGAGACCACAAGTGCACACCACTATGCCTGGCTAGTTGTTTATGTTTTGTAAAGATGCATACTGACTATATTGCCCGGGCTGGTCTTGAGCTCCTGGGCTCAAGACATCCTCCTGCCTAGGCCCCCTAAAGTACTGCGATTACAGGTGTGAGCCACCATGCCTGGCCATGTTTTGGAAACTTAATCCCTAATGCAACAGTGTTGAGAGGTAGGGCCTTTGAGGAGGTGTTCAGATCAGGAGGGTTCTGCTTTCATGAGTGGATTAACACTATTATAAAAGGGTTTAATGGAAGAAGTTGGACCCTTTTTTTTCCTTCAACTTTCCACCATGTGAGGACATGGTTTTCCTCCCCTCTGGAAGATGCGATGTTCAAGGCTCCATCTTAGAAGCAGAGAGTAGCCCTCGCCAGATGCTGATGCCTTGATTGTGGACTTTCCAGCCTCCAGAACTCTGAGAAATAAATTTCTGTTTTTTATAAGTTACCCAGTCTAGCATTCTAATATTATAGTAGTAAAAACAGACTAAAACAGTAGCTTTATTCATAATAGCTGAGAACTGGAAATCAACCAAATGTTCATCAATGGGACTAAAGAAACTGAAGTACATCTACATAGTGGAATATTACTCAGCAAGAAAAAAACAATGAATTATTGATATCTCTAATAACATAGATGAATCTCACAATTATCATGCTGAGTGAAAGAAACCAGACAAAAAGGCTACACTGTGTATTTCATTTATATGAAGTTCTATAGCAAGCAAAACTGATCTATGGTGACAGAAATAAGATCTGTGATGAGCTGGATGAGCAGTCACCACAAAGGGGCAGGAGGGAGTTCTATGAGGTGAAGAAAATGTTCTACATCTTGACTGGGTGGTGGGTAAATGGCTTTGTAAGTACCAAAACATAGCCAAATGACTACCGAAACGGGTTCATTTTCTGTACATAATTATACCTCAATCAAGGTTTTGTTTGTTTGTTTACTTTTTGAGACAGAGTCTTGCTCTGTTGCTCAGGCTGGAGTGCAATGGCATAGTCTTGGCTTCCTGCAAACTCCACCCCTGGGTTCAAGCAATTCTCCTGCCTCAGCCTCCGGAGTAGCTGGGATTATAGACGCCCACCACCACGCCTGGCTACTTTTGTATTTTTGGTAGAGACAACATTTCACCATGTTGGTCAGGCTGATCTGGAACTCCTGACCTCAGGTGATCCACCTGCCTTGGACTCCCCAAGTGCTAGGATTACAGGCGAGAGCCACCATGCCCACCTTTCACATTTTATTTATCTTTACATGGGTGGGACAAGACTAGAAAGAGGTATGAATATTGAAGAGGAGATTGGGTGTATCCTGCAGCCAATAAGAAACCACCATAGTTGCTTACCAGAAAGTGATAGGATGAAATTAATCAGAATCATTTTAATTCACCAAATAGCTGTTGGGGCAAGGCATTGTGTCAGATAGCGCAGCAATTCTGATGGAAATAATACAAATAAAAGTCATTTATTCTTGTTATGTTTTACCTGTTCCACAACCAATGTACTTCCAAGTACACTGAGTAGACTGGACATCACCCCCAAACAACCTGCTAAGGTAGGAGAAAGGCTTCTAAATCCCTTTTATATAGGAGATGACCGATGCTCAGATTGGCAAGTGAGGAAGTGAGGACTAGACATTCAGATTACAAATTCAACACTCTTTTGTAATTTACACTTAACACAGTATAGTTTAAAAACCTACAAATGATTTCTACATATATAACCCCTTTAATATTTCCAACCACCCCTCGAGGTATCAGCTTGTATCCTCATCCTGGGGACAAAGAAAGTGAGATTCAAAAAAGTTTGAAGAATTTCTCAAGAACCTACAGCTAGTCAAGTTCAGAGGCTAGTACTGGGACCTGGCTTTTCAGATTCCACATCTAACCTGGCTCCACCTCACGGCCTCTCTGAGTCCTTGTTCTACAGATCAGAGCTTTGCCAGGCTCAGAGCCACAGCTTCTGTGTGAGCCATCCCTGCTGAAGCTCTTCACAGCCCACTCAGACCTAGAGACAGCCACTGTGGCCAGACTCGGGTCCCTTGACTTCTTCCACTCTTTGCTCTCTGAGCTGTGGCTCAGGCTGAAGTGTAGTAGCTGCAGCCTCAACCTCCAGGGCTCAAGGGATCCTCCCACCTCAGCTTCCCAAGTGGCTGGGACCAAACACATACCACCATGCCCAGCTAATTTTGTTTTTGTTTTTGTTGTTTTGTAGAGAGGGAGTCTCACTATGTTGGCCAAGATGATGTTGACTCCAGATATCAAGTGATCCATCCGCCTCCACCTCTCACAGTGCTGGGATTACAGACATGAGCCACAGCATCCAGCCTACTCCTTCCACTCTTAAAACTGTCACAAAAGACTTGGTGTGTTCTTACCACCAAAAAAAAAGTAAATATGAGTGGTGATGGATATGCTAATTAGCTTGATTATGGTGATCATTTCATAATGTATGCATATATAAAACATCACATTGTACACCTAAAATATATACAATATTTATTTTCCAATTATGCCTCAATAAAGCTGAAAACAAAATCATTTAATATGAAAGAACTTTTCGGGCCAGGCACAGTAGCTGATGCCTGTAATCCCAGGACTTTGGGAGGCCGAGGCAGATGGGTTGCCTGAGTTCCAGGAGTTTGAGACCAGCCTGGGCAACATGGTGAAACTACACCTCTACAAAAAATACAAAAATTACCTGGACATGGTAGCTTTCATCTGTAGTCTCAGCTACTCAGGAGGCTGAGGTGGGAGGATCTCCTAAGCCCAGGAGGTCAAGGCTGCAGTGAGCCGAGATCGTGCCACTGCACTACAGCCTGGGTAACACAGTGATACCCTGTATCAAAAGAAAAGAAAAGAAAAAAAAGAAAAAAAGTAAAGAAAAGAAAGCTGGGCGCAGTGGCTCATGCCTATAATCCTAGCACTTTGGGAGGCTGAGGCAGGCAGATCACCTGAGGTCAGGAGTTTGAGACCAGCCCCACCAACCTGAGCTTTAGTAGAGAAACCCCATCTCTACTGAAAATACAAAAAAATTAGCCGGGCATGGCTCATCTCTATAATCCCAGCTACTCAGGAGGCTGAGGCAGGAGAATCCCTTGAACCTGGGAGGCAGAGGTTGTGGTGAGCTGAGATTGTACCATTGCACTCCAGCCTGGGCAACATGAACAAAACTCCATCTCAGAAAAAAAAACAAAAAAGGAATAGAAAGAAGGAAGGAAGGAAGGAGGGAAGGAAGGAAGGAAGGAAGAAAGAGAAAAAGAAAGGATTTTTCCTTTCTGGCTTAGACTAGGTTTTATTCATCTCAATTTCCCTTTCTCTCTCTCTCTTATTACTTCAAATCTTTATTTATTTATTTTGATGGAATGCTCCTTGAATTTGCATGTCATCCTAATGGAGAGGCCATGTTCATTTTCTCTGCATTGTTCTAATTTGTAGTATATGTGCTGTGGAACCTAGCCTAAATCTTCATTGGTTTTTAAAAATTATTATAAAAGTATACATTCTTATTGCAGAAACCAAATCAAACCAAAGTAATATAAACATTTATGACTTAGATTTTGGGGGAATGGTAAATGCCTCAAATTTCAATAGGGAGTCATTTACAATGGAAAAAAATTACATGACACTCTGTAAAAAGTGTTGTGGTTGTTGAAAAAGTGACACCCTGCCTGCTTAACTTGTCTCCATCATCACTGGATCCCTGAAGCCATGTGAGTTTGCAACCCCTTCTGGATGCTCAGTGCTCATCCTTGGACTGACTACTCCCCTCATCGGGGTGGGGAAAAATCCAGCTAACATTTACTGGTCCTTGCTATGAACTAAGTGTCTTTTCACGTATTTTGTCATCAGACATAATACAAGATAAGGCACTGCTCTCTTTATTTTCCAGATAAGGGCATGGGGAGTTGAAGCTCAAGGTCACATAGTGCAAGGTCAGCACTAGTGAATACAGGACTCTAGTCAAACGTAGAAATTTAATTCTGAACCCTGTGCATTTAACTCTAGACTGTACTTCCTTCCTAAAGAGACCCAAACCATGCTTTATAGCGACATTGAAGGATAAAGGCAGGTCCAGCAGAGGGTCTAACATCCATGCAAACCTCCCTGGAAAGCTTAGGCTCCAATAGGGATTCTTGGTTTCACATGGAATAAGTCCTGAATGGGTACCTTTCAGATTGTGTGACAAGTCAAGGGAAAGATATTCAGGGGGAGGGGACGGGACAATAGAAAAGCAAAGCCTGCTTAGCACCCTCCGTGTTGATGATTTCTCTTTCTAGAGTCATCAAGTGTCATTTCCTTCCTTCCTTCCTCCCTCCCTTTCTTCCTTTCTTCCTTCTCAATCTCTCCCTTTTCATCCAACTGAAACCTGTGGGAAATGCTGATATCTTCCTGAGCTGAAACCTTTTAAAAATTTTTTAATCTGATTTCAGAGAGGCATGTGTTGATCCCTCCATTGTCTATGATGGAGCAAAATATCAGACCTGTAATTATCTCTTCTCCTGGCAGGCCTTAAGATAAAACAGACAGGAAGACCTGAGCGGATTCTTCTCAGATGCCACCTCTTAGCACTGGGCTTTGCGAGCCTGTTATTTGGGGCGCTGCAGAAGGCAAGGCCCTATCCCGCCAAGGATCAATGGGAAAATAAGCAGTTGCTTGTGAATAGACTGCGGTCTCCTGCAGTTGTCATGCCTCCTTGGTAATGGCTATTTATCCCCACTTAATTGCTACCTGGGTTCCCCTCATTCTGTGCTGGCTGGCACTTCCCACCCCTGCCACCCTGGGCAAACTCAGGGCAGCCTGCAGAGGTGAGGCATGCCTGCCTGCCAGCCCCTTCACAGAAGCAGAGGATGCTGGTGACCTCAGCAAGGCTGACAGCGGTGACACCACCTTTTACTGCCTCTCTACTGGGTGATGTTACCTTGATCATCAATGCCTCGTGACAGCTGTACTGGTTCAGCCCTGGGATCTTCTTGCCTGTCATGCTGAGTGTCCGGGTGGTTTGTGGGTAGACCTGAGTGATGGTACTTCTGTTTGACAACAAACAGTCTGAAGCAGAAAAAAATAAAAATAAAAAAAAGTGTGTTCCTGGAAGGTGGAGGAGCCCAGAGAACTTCAGAAGAAGGGTATCTAAGCCCATCCATGTCTGGATTTCTTGTTATGTGATATGACAAATGGATACCCCTAAAATAAGAGAGAGAAACACATTAGTACCTAAGTAAAAATCCCACAGAAAATATAATAAGCCAAACCACACATTATAGCATGAGTAAACTTGACAAATATAAACTAGCTTGAACTTGGAAAATCAAATCCTGTAATTTATAATCATCAAGAAGAGACAACTCACAGAATGGTAGAAAATATTTGTATATTGTCTACCAGACAGTGGCCTAGTATCCAAAATATATAAAGAACAATGACAGCTTAGCAATAGAAAAACAATGCTAGCCTGACAAAGGCAAGGCAAAAACAAAAAAAGATAATTCAATTTACAAAGATTTGAACAGACATTTCTACAAAGAAAATATACAAAGGGACGGAGCATAGTGCCTCACACATGTAATTCCAGTACTTCAGGAGGCTGAGGACAGAGGAATCTTTGAGGCCATGAGTTTGAGACCAGCCTGGGCAATGTACCGAGACCTCATCTTTACTAAAAGAAAAAAAATTAGCTGAGCATTGTGCCTGGTGCCAGTAATTCCAGCTACTTGGGAGGCTGTGGTGGGATGACGGCTTGAACTCAGGAATCTGAGGCTGCAGTGGGCTGTGATTGAGCCACTGTACTCCAGCCCGAGCAACAGAACCAGACTCTGTCTCAAAAAATAAATTAAATAAATAAATAATGAAAATGGCCAATAAGCACATGAAACAATATTCAACGCAATCATTGAGAAAATGCAAATCAAAATTCCAATGGGTTGCCATTTCATATGCACCAAGATGGCTATAATCAGACATATAGACAACGATCAGTATAGACAAGGACAAATCAGAACCTCATGCATTGCTGCTGAGAATGTAAAATGGTGCAGCCACTTACATGCTGGAAAAAGTATAGCACTGCTTCAAAAGTCAAACATAGGATTACTATACAATCTTATGCATAGAATTGATCAGCACTTCTACTCTGAGTTCATGAGAACTGTAAACGTTATGTCCACACAAAAACTTGAAGATGAATATTCGTAGCTCATTATTTATAATAGCCAGCAAGTGGAAACAGTCCAAATGTCTATCATCAGATGAGTGGATAAATAAAATGTAGTGCAGGTTGAGTATTCCAAATCTGAAAATCTGAAATATAAAATCTGAAACTTTTTGAGCACTGACATGATGCTCAAAGGAAATGTTGTTTGGAACATTTAGAATTTTGGATTTTTGGAGTTGGGATGCTCAACCGGTAAGTATAATGCAAATATTCCCAATTTTTTTTTTTTTGAGACAGAGTTTCACTCTTGTTACCCAAGCTGGGGTGCAATGGCGTGATCTCTGCTCACTGCAACCTCTGCCTCCCGAGTTCAAGCTATTCTCTTGCCCCAGCCTCCCGAGTAGCTGGGATTACAGGCATATGCCACCACACCCGGCTAATTTTGTATTTTTAGTAGAGACAGGGTTTCTCCATGTTGGTCAGGCTGGTCTCGAACTCCCAACCTCAGGTGATCCACCCACCTCGGCCTCCTAAAGTGCTGGGATTACAGGCGTGAGCCACCACACCCAGCCCAGATTTTTTTAAAATCCCAAATTTGAAACATTTCTGGTCCCAAGCATTTTGAATAAAGGCTACTCAACCTGTATATTTATACAATCGAATATTATGGAGTCATGAAAATGAATTTGGTATGATACATACCACACTGTGGATGAGCCTTAAAAGAATTATGCCACAGGTGGGCATGGTGGCTCAAGCCTATAATCCCAGCACTTTGGGAGGCCAAAGCAGGTAGATCACTTGAGATCAGGAGTTCAAGACCAGCATGGCCAACATGGTGAAACCCCGTCTCTACTGAAAACACAAAAATTAGCCAGGCATGATGGTGCATGCCTGTAATCCCAGCTACTTGGGAGGCTAGAGCACGAGAATCTCTTGATCCCGGCAGTCGCAGGTCTCAGTGAACCAAGATCGCCTGAGCAACAAAGTAAGACTCTTGTCTCAAGACAAAACAAAACAAAACAAAACAAAACAAAACACATTATGCTAAGTGAAAGAAGCCAGTTGCAAAAGGCCAACAGTGTATGACTCCATTTACATTCATATGAAATGTCCAGAATAGGCAAATCCATGGAGACAGAATACATTAGTGATTGCCAGGGGCTGGGGGAGGAAGAAATGGGGAGTGACTGCTGATGAGTATGAGGATTTTGGGGGGTTGATGAAAGGTTCTCAAATGAGATGGTAGTTGATTGCACAACTTTATGAAGGCACTAAAAGCCACCAAGTAGTACACTTCTAAAGCATGACTTTTATGGTATGCAAATTACATATCAATTTTTTTAAGACTAGGGCACAGTTCTCAATCTCAAATGGCTGACAGTCTTCAGTGTTCAAACACTGCTGTTCGACATCATCTAATTATCAATAATTTATGTTTTCATTTTCTTCTTTTTTTTTTGAAGCATGGTGGTTTGTATATGTTTTTGTTTTCTGAGATGACCACAAATCACATGATTCTTGATGAATTAATTGATTCATGACCTCTTAAAAGACAAAAATGGAAAGAAGTTCAGAAAATAAATGGCACTAATTGTTCGAATTTTAATTAATAAGAATATGAAACATTTTTCCTAAGCAACAAGGAAAATAATAGTCATATTGGTAGACCTGGAGACACCTGCATTTGATGATGTGAGGAGTGACTTTAGGGCTCAAACATGACACAAAGATGCTCGTGGTTTTATTTGTTCACTTATCCATCTCTCAAACCATTACTGGTTGTTAGTATGTGCTGGGCCCTGGGGAGAGACTGTGAGTTTCCTCAAGGACCTCAGTGTCTAAGGTAAGAGGTAAACCTGTGACCAAATCCTTGTGGTGCTGATGATAATATGCTAGAAGAGCCATCACAGCAATGCTCCAGGTCCAGCAGTAGCCTGACCCACAGTGCAATTGTTTTCATGCACAGATATACTCAAAGGGCCGAGAATCAGCCCAGCATTTGACTGTATTTCCTCTCTCACCAGCAGCATTTTCTCCAGGTATATGTTATTACCCCAAATTGTCAACTGACAGCACAATCATGACCTCTACAATGTATTAAAAATGTGAAGTAAGTAGCCAGGGACAGTGGTGCATCACCTATAGGACCCGCTACTTGAGAGGCTCAGCCCAGGAGAATTGCTTGAAGCCAGGACTTCAAGGCTGCCTTGCCCCGTACTATGATTGTGCTTGTGAATAGCCACCACACTCTAACCTGGCAACATAGCTAGAGCCTGTCTTTTAAAAAATTAGCCTGGAGTGGTGGTGC